AATGATGTACAATACCCCAGAGGAAAGCAAAATATGGCAAAACTCACGAAGGTGATTAAGAAATGGATTGGAAAACAGTGGTCTTCATTCTTGAAGTTGAAAACCAGTGAGCACAGCAATCACGTCTATGACAGTGAAGCCTGGTGCACAGGCGTTTGGCCTTACATGCACAGCAGGCGCAAACTTTCATAATCAACAGACTCAGGTGGCCAAAACTGCAGTTTTAGTTTCTGTAACTCAATGGGGAAAAAAAATTTACAGCCCTCCACGCTTGCTCCTAATGGCAGGACATTTAATCTGTTCGTTTCACAAAAACTCCTTCACCTTCAAGTTTAAAATTAGCCAAATCCTAGCATCCCATTTCTAGGAATTTATCTTAGAGACAGACTAGCTCAAGTACGAACCATGCAAGGACAAGATTATTCATCACAGCTTCATCTGTAACAGCACAAGAGTGAAAACAACCTCAACGTTCATCCCACAGGGCTGTTGAAGTGCATCACGGGCCGGCCTTTCTGTGGAATGCTGTACGCATCCCCCAAAAAGAGAACCAGAAAGCTCTCCAGGCAAAAACATGAAAAGCTCTCCAGCAAATACTGTCAAGTATATGAAGCAAGATATGAAATTGTGTATGCCATATGTTAGCACTTGTATGTATATATCCAAGATATTTCCAGAATGATGCCAAAAAAAAATTTTTAACAGTGGTGGCTCTGGAGAAAAGAAATGGGTGAGGGATGGCGGGCAGGGGGACAGAAAAGTGGGAAGAAAATTTAACTGTGAAGCCCTTTGTACCTTTTTAAAAATTTTACTGAGGTGAAATTCACATAACATTAAATTCACCATTTTAAAATACACAGTTCATGGCTGGGCATGGTGGCTCACACCTGTAATCCCAGTACTTTGGGAGGCTGAGGTAGGAGGATTCTTTGAGGCCAGGAGTTCAAGAGTAGCCTGGGAAACATAACAAGATCTTGTCTCTACAAAAACGATTAAAAATCAGCCAGGCGTGGTGGTACACGCCTGTAGTCCCGGCCACTCAGGAGGCTGAGGTGGGAGGATGACTGACCTAGGGGGTCGAGGCTGCAGCCAGCTACGATCATACCACTGCATTCCAACCTAAGCAACAGGATGAGATCCCGTCTCATAAAAAGTGTACAATTCAGTGGCATTTGGTACATTCACAGCGTTGTGCAACCATCATCTATCATCTCTATCTCTCAAAACATTTTCATCACTCCAAAAGGAGACCCCATGCCTACCAAGCAGTCAGTCCCCTTTGTAAATTCTGCATGCTCCACTGTATCAATCAGCGTTCTACAAAGAAGAGACGGCCCCCTTAAAAGGGGCAGGTGAAGAAGTTAAGGAAGGGGCAGAGAGGTGAGGACAGTGTCAAGGGAGCCACAGGGGATGATGAGGCAGCCACAGGGAGCTAGACACTTCTGACCTGAAGGACCTGGGGTGGAACTGTTCCCCCTGAGGCCACAGCTGGCTGGAGGGGCTGCTGCCAAAAGTGTGGCCAGCAGAGAGGACGGGAGGAGAATGAAAACTCCCACCTTCCCTTCTGTCCACCTTCTGCTGTCCTGCCACCGCCCAGCATTGGCCTGACAACCAGAGTCCAGAGGCCAGGAGCCCAAGGGATGCTCACACAGGGCAGCGCTCGGGACAGAGCCAGGGAGAGAGGAGAGAGGGAATCTGGGGCAAACACAATAACTGGCATGTTGCTTGTGTTTATCTTCCAAAATGAAATTAACCATTTAAAAAGTTCAGTTGAACCCGACTCCATTACGCCCTGAACTTTTCAGCACCATGTCCCAGTCTTGAGCTTCTGTTGAGATGTACCCTTTGTCCTGGTTCCCAAGTGGGGTCAGCCCTCCTCGCAGTGACGGCAGAGTGACCATGTTCCCATCCGCCTCTGTTGCCAGCCCACCTCCTGCGGCCACCTGACCCTCAGTTCACTGCCTGCCCTGGCGAGGGGCTCTGCCAGGCCTTTTTGCTCTTGGCTCCTTGAAGCCATCTCTCCTCTGTGGCGTATGCTGGGCACTCTGGGGCCCTGCTGCTTTCTTGCACAACCTCAGGTCCCCGTTATGCTCAGACCTGGAAGATCCGCCCAGGGGAAGTCTGTCTTTTCAAGGTCCTCCCCAGGGCCTTGCTTCTGTTTGAACTCTCTTCTCCTTCCTGGTTCCCTGGATCCAGAAGAATCTGAGGGATGGTGGGGGGCAGGGGGGCTGGAGATGGAGAATTTACACATTTTTCCAAACCTTCCCAAGCTTTCATCTTGACCAAGTCTTCTGAACTTCAGAGCTGAGAATCTGATGTCTTTTTCTCTGATTAAGGTTCTCCTCGGGTGGGGAGACGCTGACTGGTCACTTGCAGTGGCGTCTCATTTGGTCCCTCCAATCAGCCCATGGGCAAAGGGCTCCCCATCACCTTCTCACGTCCAGTGGGAGCTGGTGGCCACTTTGGCTCACCCCAGGCCATCAACCTCATGATTCAAACAGTTAAAACTGTTGGGAGGCCAAGGTGGGCGGATCACGAGGTCAAGAGATTGAGACCATCCTGGCCAACATGGTGAAACCCCATCTCTACTAAAAATACAAAAATTAACTGGGTGTGGTGGCATGTGCCTGTAGTCCCAGCTACTCGGGAGGCTGAGGCAGGAGAATCACTTGAACCCAGGAGGCAGAGTTTGCAGTGAGCCGAGATCACACCACTGCACTCTAGCCTGGCGACAGAGCGAGACTCTGTCTCAAAAAAAAAAAAAAAAACAGTTAAAACTGAGGCCAGGAGAGGACAGAGATCTCAGTGGCCCTTCAAACACAGGCCTGTGGCCTGTACCCCAAGTTTGCTAGAAGGCAGCCCAGCTTTTTCTTGGTCACCCGCCTTCACCAGTCAGACGGCAAGACAGCATTACCTGTGGCCCAGCTGGATCTGTTTCTTCTTGGGAACATCTCATAGGTATCCCCACTAACACCTCCTGTACACAATGTACATGGAATTGAATTGTGTCCCCAGCAAATTCATGTCTACCCAGATTCTCAGAATGTGATCTTTTTTGAAAACAGCGTCTCTGCAGTTAAGATGAGGTTCTATGGGATCAAGGAAGGCCCTTCTCCAATGACTGGTGTCCATATAAGAAGAGAAAATACGAACATAGACTGCTGTGGTTGGAACATTTCCAACAAATTTCATATGTTGGAAACTTAACCCCAAAATTTATATCTTGATTGGAGGTGGGGCCCTTGGGAGGCAATTAGGACTAGGTAAGGACATCAGGGTGGGGTCCCATGTTGAAACTGGAAACTTTATAAGAGGAGGAAGAGAGACCTGAGCTGACACTACACTCTTGCCCTTTCACCATGCAATGCCTTCCATGTTATGATGAGCAAGAAAGCCCTCACCAGATGATGACACCTTAATATTGGACTTCCAGCCTTCAGAGCTGTAAGAAATCAATTTCTTTTTGGGTATTTGTTTTGGCGTTTCTAAAAATTTGTTTGTTTTGTTTTTTGAGGCAGGGTCTCACTCTGGTTGCCCAGGCTGGAGTGCAGTGGTGCAATCATGGCTCACTACAGCCTCCACCTCCCAGGATTCAGTGATCATCCCACCTCAGTCTCCTAAGTGGCTGGGACCACAGGCGCACACCGTGGTGTGGCACCCAGCTAATTTTGTTTTATTTTTTTGAAGATACAAAGTCTCACTATGTTGCCCTGGATGGTCTTGAACTCCTAGGCTCCAACAATCCTCCCATCTTGGCTTCCCAATGTGCAGGGATTACAGGCACGAGCCACCGCACCCAGCCTATTTTCTTTTTTTTTTTTTGAGACGGAGTTTCGCTGTTGTTGCCCAGACTGGAGTGCAATAGCACGATCTCGGCTCACCGCAACCTCCGCCTCCTGGGTTCAAGCAATTCTCCTGCCTCAGCCTCCCGAGTAGCTGGGACTACAGGCACGCACCATCATGCCCAGCTAATTTTTGTATTTTTAGCAGAGACGGGGTTTCACATTGTTGACCAGGATGGTCTCGATCTCTTGACCTCGTGATCCACCCGCCTCGGCCTCCCAAAGTGCTGGGATTATAGGCGTGAGCCACCGCGCCCGGCCCCAGCCTATTTTCTTTATGAAATACCCAGTCTGAGGTATTCAGTGATAGCAACAGACAATGGACTAAGCCATAGACACAGAGAAAAGATAGCTATGTGAGGGCAGAGGCAGAGGATGGAGACGCACATGCAAGCCAAGGAACAGCCAGGACAGCCAGTGACCCCCAGCAGCTGGGAGAAAGGCAGAGTCTGCCAGAGCCCTCTGAGGGAGTGTAGTCCTGGGCATGTCTTGCAACTTCCGGCCTCCAGAGCCCTGAAAGAATACCTTTCTGTTGTTTCAAGGCATCCACTTTGTGAAACTTTGTTACAGCAGTCCTGGGGGATGAATACATGGTCTTAGAGGGGAGACTCCTGGTATTCAGAAAAAGGTCTTGTCCTGTGTGAATTTCCCATCTCTTTATGGCTGCCTGGAACCCACCCTTAACGCGCTTCTTTTCTTTAGAGGAAGAGGCAGATCCAGGCTTCTATTCAGGTGTCCCTGGAAAGTCACGTTCCTCCGTCGGCTCTACCGTGTCGTCAGTGCAAATGCTTCTGTAGACCATATGACAGCCCTCAGTGTTGGAAATGTCTCCTTCCTTCCCCCAGGATGAGTTCCCTCCTCGGATCTCTAGCCTCCATGCGGGACCTGGGGGAGGTGGACTGGGTGGGTGAGGTCCCTCCCAGGGCGGCATTCAGCAGGCTTCGAGTCAAGGTTGCAGAGTGCATGCGGCCACTTCAAGATGTGGGTCTGGATTTGTGCTGAAAACCGCTATGGCCTTTTAAAGCCAGTGAGGAGGTTTTCTGGGGGCCCAGAAGCCCTGAGCCCATTGGCCAGACCTCCTGGGAGAACCGGAGCAGATTTGCATCAAAAAGAACACTGGCTTCATTGAAATTCTCCTCATTTTGAGTGAAACAAAACCACAAAGAAAAGGAAAGTTTTAATTCTGAGCAACTTCACCACTGAGAAGCATTTTTTTTTTTTTGACCTTCTAAAAATAGAGAGGAAATGAGCCTCTTTGGGTCACTCTAGTCGCCGCCTATCCCTGCCCCATGCCCGCCCCCACTGCCCACTCAAGGCCAGCCTCTCACAGTGGGCGATTGAGTGTCTTCAGTGGAAGCCTGAGGCAGATGCCACGCAATTCTGGAGCTGGATACGGCTGCCCCCACGGGGACCCCAGCATGCTGGACAGCAGAGACACCCCGCAGGAGAGCCGGCAGGACACAAGTGTGGGGACCTCCCAAGAAAAATCGAAAACCAGGTAAGTCAGTGGTTGGGTTTCTGCAGACTGCACCTGTGGGCCGAGTTCTAGACTTGACCCTGCTGTGTGAACCTGGGCAAGCTGCTTCTCTCTCTGAGCCTCGGTTTCTTCACCTGAGAAGAAACCCAGGTCACCCAGGGAAGAACCTGGGTGACCCATAAGATGGAAGAGCCGGTCATTTGGAAGGCTACTTAGCGTGGCCAAGAAAGGCTCATCAAAGAATAAGGCACACTCCAGGGGTATGAGCTGGGGCTGCAGTTGGGGACCCGTCGGGGCTCAGCTAGATGGACGAAGAATTTTTCACTCAATAAGAATGTTTCCCGGTCTCCTCAGGGGGTCTTTTGCATGCGGGGGTCAAAGACAAAGTTTTGGCAGGGAGCCAGAGCGTCTGGCTCCAGCTTGCTGTGTGACCTTTGGCAAGTCCCCTGGCCCTCTCTGGGCTGTTGCTTCCCTGTCTGAACGTGAGGTTTCCCTAAAGGCCTTCCACTGTGTATACTGCAGTGATCTGTGGTTCAGAGCAAGCGGGTTCAATTCGTCAGGCATTCACCAGTGCCCACCCTGGCCCAGGCCCTGTCCATGCAGGGAGTAGGGGGTCCTGAGAAAATGGGACTCAGTCCCAGTCCTGAGATGCCCTGGCCAGGAGGCAGGAAGAAGGCAGACACACAGACACACACACAGACATACATACACACACAGACA